AGAGTATGGCTTTAAGAAATGAAAACAGGTTATGTATCGTTGGTGACTCAAACTTGGGAAAGAAGTCCCAGAAGAGATTTTGCACATAAGTCAATCATGGAAGTACAAAGTGGTATAGAGCTTTGTGAAAAGCGTTAGTGTAACATAGAAACAGAGATTGCAGAGCATGTTTCTCAGTGTTCGTTGCATGGAAATGTGAAGTCTGAGCATTAAAATCTTGTTCAATCTAGTCTCTTTCATTTTTGCCTGGAGAATGTTACATAGTAGAAGATGGGAGCCACCTATTGGTTTGGTAACAAGCAGGAGAAAGAATATTGTTCAGTTATGAAATTATATATTTCATGTATCATTGTTGAAGTGTATCCTTGAATCCAATGATATCTTAGATTATGATGAGTCTCTTTAGGTAAGAGAAAGTTCTACATATACAAAGTAGTTATTTGGAATTTTAAACTAAGATTAAACGTCATGGTTCTTGTAATGATTTTATAGAAATTTACTATTACTTTTTTTACCATGACACAGAGATAGAAGAATAATATTTTTGAACAGCTAGATACTTGGGGACATTCAAGTTTTGAGGACAAAACTTCTTTTGAGGGGTATAATATATAATATCCCAAATTTGTCAATTGACAATAATTATGCTATAAATTTTTGGGGCCGACCATTATTAGTTAATATGCTCATGAAATTATTGGATGAGATTTGAGTATATGCTGATGACAACATTTGTACATAGTACCATCATAGTCGGATTAAGGAGATTAAAGAAAATGATTACATGATCTATGGACGACTCAGGTATGTCCAAGTTTTGAGGACAAAACTTCTGTTAAGAGGGGTAGTATGTAATAATTCTAAGTTTTTAGATAGATATATATAAGGAAAAGTATAGGGGCTTTTATGTAAAATTTGATAGAGGGTTTTAATAGCAAAAAGACCTATATAAATATCCAAAACCCTACTTTTCCATCAGCCTCCTTTCCTTCTCCCGTCCTTGTCTCGCCGCACAACACAAAAAAAAAAAAAAAAAAAGGATCCGTGCGATTGAAAGAGGGTGACCGGTGGTTGTTTACACAATAGCGAAGGTATGACTATTGGTAAAAGAATAATATATGAATGTATTAGGGTTTGGTTTGAATTTTGTATTTACAATCAATTAACTCGGTTTTATTTTGTGGTCGGCCATGGTAATGCTCTTGATAGCATGCAACACCTTGCTGTTGGGTTTTTTATTGCTTTTGTCGTAAGTGGTAAATTTATGCATTGTGCATTGCGTATTTTTCCTACAAAATGATAGTAAGTATATGTGGATTTGTTTCCTGATGGATTATATCCTTCGTATGATTTACTGGTATATCATTTGTTGACTAGTTTGATTTTGTGACGATCATGGATATTTGGTATAAGCTTATGCCTATTTTCTTTATCAATTGTTATGTCTTTTCATATAGTGGTAGGTTGAGATGCATATGTGTTTGATTTATTTACCTATTGGTTGGCCTTTGGCATTTTTGTATAATGTGATTAGCTTTACGAACTTTGTTTATTGTTAAAGCATATGCATCTCAAGTCAATATACCGGTATATGTCGGATATAAGCAAGCTATTAAAACAGGACTCAATGTGCCTCTATGAGGTTTTATTTTAGCGCTAAGAGCCCAAATTGGGTCTCACCGTCCCGGAACCACGGGCTTAATAATTGTGGGGTTTACCGAGTCAACCGGAGTATGAAGTGTTGACCGCATTGAGACGTAGCATGCTTATTTCTATTCCATGATTTCTAATTTTCTTAAATATTTGTATCAAATACTAGAGTTCATTAATGATTCTATATCATTCTTATATTTTGTTTATTTCTCGTTGTAATATTTTAGTTTTGCAAAACCAGTGTTTAATGTATGAATTTATCCACTTATTGAGTTGTGAACTCATTGTGTTATTTCTATTCTTTTCAGAGACTCGGGATTAGGTGGAATTGAGGATTGTCAAATTCTTAGAACGAAGCAAAGAATAATTCGAGATTGTTATTGTCTTCTAGGCGAAGGTTAAATAAAGTCTTTAATGTTTAGATGATGAATTGAGAGTTTGTAATAATGAGATTCTTTCTTTAGGTTGAGATTTATTTGGAGTTGAGGAATATTTATTTTTATCAAGTTAATTGGCTTAGTTGACTTTTGGGATTATAGAGAATATTTGCTGTTGGTTTTAGTTCAATGAAGAGATTTGTTTTAGTGCTCTTTTAATGAATGTATATTTTGGAGGACTTTTCACAGGTTTAGTCCGGCTCTAATATTCCTTTGAGGTTCGGAAATTGGGGTCGTGACAATACCACTTGTACCAACGCTCCTCAAGGAACCCCACTGGATAGAACTGTTTCCGAAGTAGCTCTTTGAACTTGTTCCACGATGCTGCTTTCTTCTCCTGTTTGTAATAGGATTTCCACTACGTCAACGCGTGCCCTGAAAGCTTCAATGTCGTGAACGCTATCTTTTTCTTGGACGAATATCTGTAGAGAGTAAAGTACATCTCCATACGTTCGATCCAATCATCAAGCTTCTCCACATTGATACTCCCATCATAAACAGGAATCTTAACCTTCAAGTCAATCTTCAGATTCTGGTAATTATTCTTACCCCCTTGATGTCCAACAGTCTTGACAATCTCAGTCTCCCCCTCTGAATCAGATTTCTCGCTCTCTTCGTCAGATTCGACGAGTTTCTTCTTACCCTTCGAAGAAGATTCCTCCTTTTTGTCTCCTCCGTTGATGAGACCCACGAGTTAAGTAAGAGTCGCCCCGATCGTCTCAATCTGCTTCTCCATGGCATCAAGTCTTGCTAAATTATCTGCTTCAGTCATCTTCTCCTTCCTTAATTTCTGGACTCCCTCCAAGGAAATACGGATCTCGCCAAGCTTCTTGTACTGTGAGCGAGTAAGGACCATACACAGGTTCCCCCTTCACAGGATCTAGGTGCTCTGATACCAACTTGATACGCGTCACCGTGTGAACACTCTTGATCGTGGAATTATCAAGAGTGGGTAGAGAAGAAAACGACAGAAGAACACAAGAGTTATAATTAGGGCGAAGGAAAATACCTTCTCTAGATTATGAGAATCAATTGGATTTATAAAATCTCTCTCTCACAATTTCTCTAGATCAAAGAACAACCTCCCTGATCTCTTTTCTGATTACAATTTGAGTGTTTAACCCTAGAAAAGTCGTGTTTCTATTTATAATAAACAGAAATCATAAACGGTGCAGGAAACAGGCCCAGGCCCATAACCGCTACGCGGTCGACCGCAGTGACCAAGTCGGTCGACCGGCCAGAACGTCGATTTCTGGAAAAATCAATTACAGGGTTTCCGATCGACCACAGCGCCTATAGCGGTCGACCGCTCTCAGTCCAGAGACACAGTCTGGGTCTGTGCACTACGCGGTCGATCGCAGTGACACATGCGATCGACCGGACAGAGCCCAAGCTGTAATTCCTGCAGTTTGACGAATCCTTTGACTTCGCCGCCTCCAATGACCTCGTCCACGACTCCTCTACTCTATTCTTAAGATACCATGAGAATCATCTATCCTCAAGCTCCCATGAGGATTGCTAAGCTCCTAAAGAGAAGATACACCCGTATCAACAGATCTTCGAAAGTCTTAGAATTGATACATATAGATATTTATGGGTCATTCTCTACGGCTTCTTAGAATGATCAATAATATTTTATATCATTCATAGACGATTACTCACGTTATGTGTACCTATATCTCATTCATGAAAAATTTGAGTCTCTGGACATGTTCAAAGCCTATAAAGCTGAAGTTGAGAAGTAACTCAATAAAAGAATTAAAACCGTTAGATCTGATCGTGGTGGTGAGTACTACGATAGATATGATGGCTCAAGTGAACAATGTTTAGGACCATTTTCTAGACACCTAGAGGAATATGGTATCGTCCCACAGTACACCATGCCGAGTTCACCTAGCATGAATAGTGTAGCTGAAAGACGAAACATGACTCTTAAGGATATGGTAAGAAGTATGATTGCTCATTCTTCTTTATCAGAGTCACTCTAGAGAGAAACATTAAAGACAACATCTTACATTCTAAACAGAGTACCAAGTAAAGTAGTTGCTAAAATACCTTATGAGCTTTGGACGAGTCGAAAGCTCGGTTTAAAGCACTAATATATTTAAAGATCTCCAGCTGAGGCAAGCCCTTATAGGCCAAATGAAAAGAAATTGGACTCCAAAACAGTTAGCAACTACTTTATTGAGTATTCTAAACGCTCTAGGGGCTATAAGTTTTATGATCCCACACTAAGGAATATTTTTGAGATGGGGACAACAACATTCTTTGAGGTTGTTGAGTTTGGGGGGAGAAATAAGGTTAGAGATATTGTTTTTGAGGAGAAATTGGCTTCAAATCCAATCTATACAGTTATTTTTAATAATATTTAGGTTCCTATACATGTTGTTGCTCAAGAAGGTAATCTGGAACCCCAAGATGATAATGTTGAACAACTCCCTGTTCTAGAAGAATAAACTCAACAACCTTAAGAAATAGTGTCATTAAGGAGATCCATGAGAGAAAGGAGAAATGCTATTCCGGATGACTATATTGTATTTCTCCAAGAACATGAGGATAATAATCGAATGTTAAGATGATCCAATCAACTTTCTTCAGGCCATGAAAAGTTCTAACCCTTAACAGTGGATTGATGCTATGAATAAAGAGTACAAGTCTATGCAAGACAATAAGGTTTGAGAACTTGTCCCATTACCAGAAGGTGCAAAACCAATTGGTTGTAAATGGATTTTTAAAACCAAGCGGTATACAAACGGCAATGTGGTGAGGTATAAGGCACGTCTTGTAGTTAAATGTTTTACTTAAAAGGAAGACATTGATTATACAAAGACTTTCTCTCTAGTTTCATTGAAAGACTCTTTTAGAACAAACATCGTGGTTGTTGCTCATTTTGATCTTGAGTTATATCAGATGGATGTTAAGACTATATTTCTCAATGATGATATTGATGAGATGGTTTATATGGTACAACCAGAAAACTTTGTGTTAGGAGACCCAAAGAATATGGTTTGCAAATTAAGAAAATCCATCTATAGACTCAAGCAAGCTCCTCGTCAATGATATTACAAGTTTCAACAAATGATTATCTCGTTCGGTTTTAAGATGAACACTGTTGATGACTGTGTATATCACAAGTTCAGTATGAGTAAGTTTATTTTTTTGGTTCTGTATGTCGATGACATATTGTTTGTCACTAATGATATAGACATGTTGCACGAAACCAAGAGATTTCTATCAAAGAATTTTGAGATGAAAGATCTTGGGGACTCCTCTTTTATATTAGGAATCTAGATACATCGAGGTCGTTCTCGAGGTATACTTGGATTATCACAAAAGAGCTATATCGATAAAATACTTAAAAGGTTTGGCATGCAAGACTGTAGACCAGGAGACACCCTGTTGTTAAAGGAAACAAGTTCAGTCTCAATCAGTGCCCTAAAGGCAACCTTAAAATTCAAAAAATACAGAAGATTCCTTATGCTTTGGCTGTAGGAAGTCTAATGTATGCTCAGGTGTGTACGCGTCTGGATATTGCGTACATTATTAGAATGTTAGGCAAATACTTAAGCAACTCTGGTATGGATCATTGGATAGCAGTCAAAAGGGTTATGAGGTATCTATAGAAAAAAAAGATTATATAACTACATACAGAAAATCAGAACAGTTAGAGGTCATTAGGTATTCTGATTTTGATTTTACTAGATGTCAAGATAACAGAAAGTCTACATCAGGCTATATCTATATGTTAGCAGGAAGAGCTATATCATAGAAAAGTGTCAAACAGACACTTGTAGCTTCCTTCACTATGACAGCAGAATTTGTAGCTTGTTATGAGGCATCCAATTAGGAAATATGACTGTAAAATTTTATCACGGGACTGCGCATTCTGGAAAATATGAAAAGATCACTAAGGTGATATTGTGATAATAAATCTACAGTAATGTATTCCAATAATAACAGGAGCTCAACTAAGTCAAAACATATTGACATAATCTACAGTAATGTATTCCAATAATAACAGGAGCTCAACTAAGTCAAAACATATTGACATTAAGTTCCTAGTTGTGAAAGAAAGGGTACAGAGTCTCAACTAAGTCAAAACATATTGACATTAAGTTCCTAGTTGTGAAAGAAAGGGTACAGAGTGGACAGATAACCATAGAGCATATTAGGACAAACTCCATGATAGCTGATCATCTTACTAAAGGATTGCTACCTAAGGTCTTTCATAAGTATACTGCTCATATAGATATGGTATTGTTTGAGGATATCATGATTTAGTGAGAGTTTGTGATTGTGGTGCTTTATGTTAGGTTGTATTGTCTAATCAAAATAAATTTTTTAGTTCATACACTCTGGTACATTATGTTGAGGTTGACCTCACTAAAGTTTAAGGTAGGACCAGTTGAAAATAGACATGTACTGATCATATTGCATGTAATTTTTATGTTGTACATCCATGATTGGTCTATATCGTTTGATTGTATTGGTATTTGTGACCATTGATGGGTTTAGTTACGATAAATGTGACGAAGACTGCTTTGATCCTATATTGATATACTCAATAGACGAGATTGTCTGAAAGTACCCTTTTTCAGTGATAGCAATTTTTGAGCTCATAAGGTTATACACACTTTAAGAAAACATATGGTGCCCAAGTGAGAGATTGTTGGATTTAAATCTAATTAAATCTAATTTGTGGGCACATATATTTATCAATGTGTATTACTATCCTTAAGGATAAACCGCATAAAGTGATAAATTAATTTGGGTTAATGGGTATTTAAATAAATCATGGGTTAAATGTGCAGATACCAAGTTGTATTTATAATTTGATGAGGGACCAAATTATAAATGTACAACACCTATATATATGAGGTTATGGTCCCTAATCTAGGGTTAACAACACATTCTCTATTCTCTTATCCCCATCTAAAGAGAAACTAAGGAGAAACCCTAATATTAGAAGATCATCAAAACCTAAATCAGATCTGTGCAAATTTGTGCAATGGATTCAGGTATAGCTTCTGCTCTTTTGTTTTTAATCTCTATGATTTAATCACAATTCAGTCCAACAATTTCACTTTAATATCCTCATTCAGATTCCATGAGATTTTTTGTTAAATATGTATCGTTGTTAAAAATACTTTAGGTATCAGAATGAAATGAGATTGAAAGTTCATATTAGCAAACTGTTAAAATAATCCTTTGGAGTATCAAAGTGAAAAAATGGGTAAACTTTAGAGTATCCAAGTGAAAATAAGACCTTTTTTAATGAAAAATGCATAGTATAACTATAGATGGGTAAAAATATTGAACCGTTGATCAAGTACCCTATAACGCCACGAAGAGGCCCGTGAAGGGTAAAATGATCATTCTAACATGGCCAATGGGTTCAATATGATAATATGGACAAGGGGCTAAGGATGCAAAGCCATGAAGTCCTGAACCTAGGGGGATCAAGAATTAGATCAAAACTAGCTAAGAAAATAGATTAAGACACATTTACTTGGTGCTAAGTTTACGCAGTGCTAGATTTAAGTGGCCAACCATGACGCATCGCAGAAGTGATAAACCTCTGAATCCACCAAGGGTTGTTCTCTGAATCCACAAAGAACGATTTCCGAATCCACAAAGACCTTTGAATCCACAAAGAAAATATTAAAGAGGAATTTTTTTGATAAAAAATTATTATTCTTTGGGGGTTACATTACTCTTCTTAAATAGAAAAACAAATAAGATTCCTAGCAAGACTAGAATTACAAAGAAATAGAAAGTATCAAATTCTATCCTACAAAGACTCCCTATAATAGAGGAAACAAGTCATGAATTAAAATTAAATTTGTTTTCCAATCTAATTTGACTCTAACATTGAATTTATTTTCTAATCTAAATAGACTTCAACTTTATTACAACTGATTATTTTCAGATTTCAGCCAAACCTGGGTATTACAGATGGTATTTTAAAAATCTGACAATTTGTTTGGCTCCCTCTCGTCGAGATAGGTGATTTACATATATAATATATCAGAATCCGTCTTCCGGATTGGAAGATATGATTATTTCTTTGCGGAAGTCAATAATACATATGAGTCGGCATTTAGCTCGTGATTGTCCAACTCCTCCATGAAAGTATCCATTAAGCGTCCTACATCAAACCAGCATAAAGCTAATGACACGTAAAATTTTGTTGAACTAGCAAATCAAACTGCAACAAATTTGAGGCATCAGATCGCTACAAGACAAAATCTTTGCAAAAAGATCACACGAGGCTGAAAAAGTAACCAATGTGGGACATTTATGCGGTGCTACTAACACTGCATGAATGACAATTCTTGCAAGAGTTGTCGCAAAGGGCGACGTGTAGCCATCCATTGGACATATGGATTCTGAAAAGCTACCAAAGTAGCTCGCTTAAACTATCGCCGCATAAGTCTTGTAGCACGTAAACCCCTAAATACATGTGAATAAGGGTTCTTCTATAAATAGAGACACTTAGCTCACAAACAAAGAGCTTTAAATTTTTATCTGATTTTTCTTATTTTAGGTCTGAACTCTCTTCTTCTATAGCAGAGCTGCTGCTACTCTAGAGGTTCCTTAGACTAATATCGAAAAGAAACCTTACTTTTATTGTAACAAACACATAAAAATATGAGGTGTTACAAAATTTAAAAAAATAGACCCTTAAATTAAAAGTTTAATTGCTCTTAAATACCTTGTAGTTTGATGGTTTTACCTGCTTTGCACGTCCATACCCCAATTATATTTGGTTACACTTAAAAATCCTAAAGTAACCTGAAAAGTAAGCTTAAATATTGCACTTAAAAATGATATTTGAGAAATAAACCCTTGCGGGTGAAAAGGTAAAAAAGTTTACACTCAGGGGTTCTATCTGCAACAAGAGCAATGTATTTACAACTATAAATAGGGAATATAGAGATTGGATTTGTAAATAAGCCCTGTAACTCTTTTGTAGTTTAATAAACCAGGAATCGAATGAAGGGGAGTATTTTACAGAAGTTCTCTAAGCTCATTGCTCAAAACTCAAAAGGACGGGCAAACATCAATAAATATCCTGTGTTTCTCGACAACAATCTTTACAGAAATTGCTTGCCAATAAGTTAAATTCTGGATTAGTTACATTTCACTATCCTGACGTACAATATAAATACACTCGTAATTCCGGAGTTGTGTATTAACGTGGTGATCCTATAATTATAATCGTAATGAGACGGCTAACCAGTACAACAAGCAACTCTCAGAATTATTAGTGTAAATATAATTAGTAACCGGATAATTATCCTTGTAGATACACGACTCCATGATCACTAGTGTAATTACACCGTACCTCATGGGTACTGGTTTGTAATTAATCCTTACATTTATATAATTTATATATGGCTGTGTTTGGGAACTTGGATTTGAGCCTTGGATTTAAAATTCAGGGTATTTCAAATCCAAGTCTCTTGTTCGGACCTCAAATTGGGCTGAGATTTTAAATCAAATGATTTTAAAGAGTAGATTTTGAAAGCCCAAATACACGTATTTGAAATCCCACCCTCACCCTTGGTATTTACCAAATCCCGACGGGATTAAATCCCGATCCCGACTCCTCTCTCACATTTCTCCTCACCCTTGGTATTTACCAAATCCCGACGGGATTAAATCCCGATCCCGACTCCTCTCTCACATTTCTTAGTCACGATCCCGATCCCGACTCCTCTATCTCTCCTCTCTTCCCTTCTCCTCTCTCGTCGAAACCCTAGATCTGATCTAGGGTTTAGGTCTCCCCCTTTCTCCTCTCTCTCCCCGTTCCATCGAATCCCTAGCTTCGCCTCCTCCTCCCCCGACGCCGCCGCGTAGGTCCACCTCCAGGAGGCGGAGGAGAGGCTGCGCGAGGTGATCCAGGAGCTCCAGCGTCACCACTCCCGGCGAGGGTCCGGCGAACACCCCACCTACGACCACGCCGACGAGTCCTGCATCGTCCACACCATTGGAAACCTATGCCAGAGCTTCCTGCTATCCTATGGAGTTAGGGTTGGGGTCGGGATCCTCCTCTGAGCGTTCAAGCTCGCCAAGCGACGGTCGTACTGTCGATCCTTGATCTCAAGGTATGGATTTCTTTCCTCCCGTCGTTGATTTTTGTGTGGAATTTGATGCCTCTGAAGATCGATTTCTTTCTTTCTTTCTGTCATTTATTATCTTATCATAGTATTTGAAAGGCACATGCAAATGCTGCTGTTATAACTCAGGTGAAATTTAAAAATTAAGTATAGATTTGTTGATTTAAGGGGGATTTTTTGAACTTTTTGATGTGATTTTTTAGTTATGGAGGAAGATTGCAACAGAGACTGCTCTAGAGGTGCAGATTCTTTTGGAAAAGTGGCAGCTTTTGCTCTTAGGGCTTATTTTTCAGTTATATTTATTTTTTATATGATCTCGTGAAGAAGATTGGGCTGTTAAGAGTATTCTGTAATAGAGAAGGAACATTTTGGTCAATTTATATTTTTGGATTTATTATGTATATCACCATATATTTAGGAATTTTTTTGAGCAGTATTGTTTCCGTGAATAAGTGATAAAAAATAAAAAAATATAAACTGTAGTATCGAAAAGGAAAGGAAATTAATGTCGAGGCTGATAAAATCTCTTGTACAGAAAAGGAAGAAAGAAAGAGTTAAATAACTCAGACTGATATTGCATAGAATTTACCGATTGGAAATAATAAATCTTAAAAAAGTAGCAGGCTCACTTTGATGACCATGGTATGGACTAACTTGGAGAAGTATGCTATGTTTGTTGTTTCCATCTCCAGTATATTCATGGGTTGGTAGCTCGAGGAGTTCACTATTTACATCGACCTGGACCTGTTCTCCAAGATCTTGGGTTCATGATCCTTCCGGTTAGTATATTATTATGTAGTTTATCTGTCACATACGGTCGCAATAAGTCTTTTTCAATAAGTCTTGAAAAAGCTATCCTTGTGTTCAATTAGAACAAAAATGTCCTTTTACTAAGAATTTATGTCAATAAGTCTTGAAAAAGCTATCCTTGTGTTCAATTAGAACAAAAATGTCCTTTTACTAAGAATTTATGAGTTACTATCTTATTATCTTTTGTCACTCAATTACATTACTTTCTCATTATATTATTACTATAGCAACAAAGTTTCATAAGGTTCTGCTGGTCTTGTCCCATTTTTTTTATCTGTACCACCTTCCACATGCTAGTTTAGCTGTGCTACAATTTTGCAACCTTCTCCCCTCTTAATGGGTTGCCTTGTTACTTATTCATTGTCTTTGAGTTGGCTTCTATATATCTAATGGAACTTAGTTGCATTTTAGTATTAAAAAACTAAAAGCCCTGTCATTTATCATGATAAGATTATCTAAATTTCATTAGTAGAGTTTCGTATCTTGCAGATGAATGTCCTCTTTTGTTGTTTATTCGATCACTCTGTTAATATCTTCTTTTCTTTCTCCCATGTTTTCTCTGAAGGGCTGAGATTGTTTTCATTCAGTTTTCCAAATGTTTATGACATGATGTTCCGTCAATTTCTTCTGCAGTGGACATTTCACCCTTTCATTTTCCACAGTAAACGCTTGTATACAGTTCTAATATGGCGGAGGGTGCTGGCTTTTTTAGTTGTAAGTTCCATAACTGATACTGGATAACCCATGTTTGATGGTTGCCAATGCTTTAGTCTGACAAAGAAGTTTTTCATGCAGGCCTCACAAATGTTACGGATTGTTACATTCTATTCTACTCAACTTCCTGGACCTAACTATCACTGTCGTGAGGTACATCTCTATGCCAATTTTATTGATGAGCTTTCAATAGCAATTGACCAGTACCATCTATAACTTCACTTAGTAATTTATAGTTTCATTCAAATGAACCTCACTTAGTAATTTATAAGTATAACTGAGAGCATTGAGCTTCCATGCAGGGTTCCGAACTTGCCACATTGCCCCCTCCTGATAGCGTGTGGGAAGTGCTTCTAATTAACTGTAAGTAATCTTCATTTGAGGTGATCCTGTTTGCAGTTCTTCTGGAATTCATTTATTTAGAGAGTCTCATTATCATATAACTTGGATGTTATAAATGTTCATTTGGTTTATTCTTGTTTGCAGTTCCTCGAGGAGTCATCTATGGTTGTGGTGATCTGATATTTTCATCCCACATGATATTCACTCTGGTGTTTGTGTGTGTATACCATAAATATGGCTCTAAGAGGGAAAAGGGCTTAGAATGCTTGGAATCTTAGTTCTAAAAATCTTCTTTGATCTGCTCTTTAATCTTACCTGGCTGTGTGCAGGTGTATCAAGGATCTTGCTTGGTTGATGGCCATTATTCAAAGTCTGCTTATAATCGCTTCTCGCAAGCATTACTCAGTTGACGTTGTTGTTGCATGGTAGGATAAACTTTCAGCATTCAGTTATTATTTTTTGATGATGGAATTTTTGCTTATAATCGCTTCTCGCAACATTATATTCAAAAGCATACCACAACTATATTCAAAAGCATACCAAATTCAACTGTGTTTCATTGGATATCTATGCGATTGGTTTAATATATTAGCATTAAGGACATTTGTCTTTATAATTAATTGAGCGTTATTTCCTCCTGAGTGTTGAACTATGTCACTTACAAGATTTGTTTATGATTTATATCTTGGTTTGTTCTGACATGTTTATACTTATTTGCTTGTGATGCAGATAATGCTGGGGTTATTGTGAATCCAAAGGGGGAAATGAAAGGTATATTACATTCATTTCCCATGGATTATCCTTTTTTTAACCATCTCAGCATCAGACTCTATTTTGTACATGCATTGTTGTTTGTAGTGAAAACTTTAATGCATAAATTTATTTTTACTTCTTCATATAATATATATCAATCGATGTTTTCTGCTTCTTCAAGATCTGCAATTACTAGACCAATTGGAAAGGAGTGTGCTGGTTTGTGGTCTAGGATTGCTAGTGCAGCCAATGCCATTGTGTAATATCCAGATTTTTCTTCAGGTGTCAGTGAGGAGGGGTAGTTTCATGTTATTTGTTATTGAAAAGAAAAGTGAGTTTTTTAAATATGGATCCATATTTGTATTGGATGTTTTTGTTTTCCTTGTTATTGAAAAGAAAAGTGAGTTTTTTAAATATGGATCCATATTTGTATTGGATGTTTTTGTTTTCCCTTGATGTACATTTATTGGAATTGATATTCTGGGATCAAGCTGATGGTAACATTGTTTTCCTTTTGTTATGAAATTAAATGGTGATGGTTTGAAGATAATAATGATTCATATATTGGATATCATTGTTGAAAATTTATTAATAAATAAGCTACTGGAAAATTTGAAGATATTTTGTCAATACTTCTCAGGGACTTTGTGAAATTTATCCTAACTTTTACCTCAACATAAACCTTAATGTCCGCATAAAAGATTGAGGAGTTAAGAGAAAGCATAAATTTTCTTAAAACACAAGTTCTGAAATCCAAGTTCATGTATAATAAAGTGTATCCAAACACTATATTTCAAATCTTTGATTTCAAATCCTTGCATTTTGTAAAGATACCCAAATAAAAGATTCTATCAAATCATTAATTTCAAATTCTAGATTTTAAATTCTTTGATTTTAAATCAACATTCCAAATCTAAATCTTGGGAAAAATGTGTCCAGGCCCCAAAAGTGGGAACTTCGTGTGACTAGCCCCCCTGTACTTTGCCCCATGTGGAATAGCCCCAAAAAATGGGCTTTAATGTTTTAAGCCCCCTCCACGTCAGCTTTATACTAAAAGCAGATGGTATTTTACAAAAAAACCGAAACTGCCCTTCTCTTTCTTCCCCAGACGAGTCCTGGAAGTCACTTCTCATTAATGCGATATGATGGTGAAAATGGAGGGAAATTTCCCCCTTTTTTTACTCCATCTAACTAGTTAGTTCTCCATTACTCCTCCTCCTCAGACCAAAATTCTCTCCATAACTCTCTCCATCATGAGCAATAACTAGTTAGTTCTCCATTACTCCTCCTCCTCAGATCAAAATGGCTGAAAAGGACATCATCTGCATTGTCTTTTCGCAGTATAAAGCGGTATTCTGCATTGTCTCTTCGCAGTATAAAGCGGTATTCTTGAAGATTAATTCTTCAACCACCATCTTGGATCTCAAGTTTGATGCGGCAGAGAGGTTAGATCTTCCATACGAGTCATTAATTTTGGCATACGAAGATCAAACAGTTGGAAGCTTAAAATTTCTCATTGAGAACGATGGTGATCTGACGTCTATGGTGGAGCATTGCCACAATCTTGGACTGAAAGAGGTTCACGTGCAAGCTTTTAAAGAAGGAGATGATTCTTCGAATAAACAGGAAAACGAGCAAGTCCGACAAGACATGTAGGTTAACTGTAAAATCAATTAACTTAAGTTCTAATCGTCTTCTTGTTAGTTCTATACTAGGTTTAACTGGACTTCAGTTCTAATGTTTTATTTGTCATTAAGCAGTTCTTTGTTATGCTCCATACTAGAGTTCTAATGTTTTATTTGTCAGTTCTAATCGCTATTTTGTTAGTTCTACTAGAGTTATTGCTGGTTCCACTATAGTTCCCATATTGTTAGTCCTAATTGTTATAAATTAGATATAACGTGGTATAAATTAACGTGGTATAAATTAGACAATGTAGGTATAAAATAGAACTAACAAGCCATCAGTTAGAACTGACACTAACACACTACAGATTAGAACTAACACTGTGCATATTATTAGAACTAACACGCTACCGAATAGAACTAACACTGTAGGGGATTAGAACTAACACTCTACAGAATAGAACTAACACTGTGCAGATTAGAACTAACACTCTACAGAATAGAACTAACACTGTGCAGATTAGAACTAACACTCTACAGAATAGAACTAACACTGTGCAGATTAGAACTAACACTCTACAGAATAGAACTAACACTGTGCAGATTAGAACTAACACTCTACAGAATAGAACTAACACTGTGCAGATTAGAACTAACACTCTACAGAATAGAACTAACACTGTGCAGATTAGAACTAACACTCTACAGAATAGAACTAACACTGTGCAGATTAGAACTAACACTCTACAGAATAGAACTAACACTGTGCAGATTAGAACTAACACTCTACAGAATAGAACTAACACTGTGCAGATTAGAACTAACACTCTACAGAATAGAACTAACACTGTGCAGATTAGAACTAACACTCTACAGAACGGAACTAACACTGTGCAGAATAGAACTAACACTCTACAGAATAGAACTAACACTGTGCAGATTAGAACTAACACTCTACAGAACGGAACTAACACTGTGCAGAATAGAACTAACACTCTACAGAATAAAACTAACACTGTGCAGATTAGAACTAACACTCTACAGAATAGAACTAACACTGTGCAGATTAGAACTAACACTCTACAGAATAGAACTAACACTGTGCAGATTAGAACTAACACTCTACAGAATAGAACTAACACTGTGCAGATTAGAACTAACACTCTACAGAATAGAACTAACACTGTGCAGATTAGAACTAACACTCTACAGAATAGAACTAACACTGTGCAGATTAGAACTAACACTCTACAGAATAGAACTAACACTGTGCAGATTAGAACTAACACTCTACAGAATAGAACTAACACTGTGCAGATTAGAACTAACACTCTACAGAATAGAACTAACACTGTGCAGATTAGAACTAACACTCTACAGAATAGAACTAACACTGTGCAGATTAGAACTAACACTCTACAGAATAGAACTAACACTGTGCAGATTAGAACTAACACTCTACAGAATAGAACTAACACTGTGCAGATTAGAACTAACACTCTACAGAATAGAACTAACACTGTGCAGATTAGAACTAACACTCTACAGAATAGAACTAACACTGTGCAGATTAGAACTAACACTCTACAGAATAGAACTAACACTGTGCAGATTAGAACTAACACTCTACAGAATAGAACTAACACTGTGCAGATTAGAACTAACACTCTACAGAATAGAACTAACACTGTGCAGATTAGAACTAACACTCTACAGAATAGAACTAACACTGTGCAGATTAGAACTAACACTCTACAGAATAGAACTAACACTGTGCAGATTAGAACTAACACTCTACAGAATAGAACTAACACTGTGCAGATTAGAACTAACACTCTACAGAATAGAACTAACACTGTGCAGATTAGAACTAACACTCTACAGAACGGAACTAACACTGTGCAGAATAGAACTAACACTCTACAGAATAGAACTAACACTGTGCAGATTAGAACTAACACTCTACAGAATAGAACTAACACTGTGCAGATTAGAACTAACACTCTACAGAATAGAACTAACACTGTGCAGATTAGAACTAACACTCTACAGAATAGAACTAACACTGTGCAGATTAGAACTAACACTCTACAGAATAGAACTAACACTGTGCAGATTAGAACTAACACTCTACAGAACAGAACTAACACTGTGCAGATTAGAACTAACACTCTACAGAACAGAACTAACACTGTGCAGATTAGAACTAACACTCTACAGAACAGAACTAACACTGTGCAGATTAGAACTAACACTCTACAGAATAGAACTAACACTGTGCAGATTAGAACTAACACTCTACAGAATAGAACTAACACTGTGCAGATTAGAACTAACACTCTACAGAATAGAACTAACACTGTGCAGATTAGAACTAACACTCTACAGAACAGAACTAACACTGTGCAGATTAGAACTAACACTCTACAGAACAGAACTAACACTGTGCAGATTAGAACTAACACTCTACAGAACAGAACTAACACTGTGCAGATTAGAACTAACACTCTACAGAATAGAACTAACACTGTGCAGATTAGAACTAACACTCTACAGAACAGAACTAACACTGTGCAGATTAGAACTAACACTCTACAGAATAGAACTAACACTGTGCAGATTAGAACTAACACTCTACAGAATAGAACTAACACTGTGCAGATTAGAACTAACACTCTACAGAATAGAACTAACACTGTGCAGATTAGAACTAACACTCTACAGAATAGAACTAACACTGTGCAGATTAGAACTAACACTCTACAGAATAGAACTAACACTGTGCAGATTAGAACTAACACTCTACAGAACAGAACTAACACTGTGCAGATTAGAACTAACACTCTACAGAACAGAACTAACACTGTGCAGATTAGAACTAACACTCTACAGAACAGAAC